GCTGACTGAACTGGAAGCACTAGCAAAGCCTCAATAAGTGTTAATTACCCCTCCCCCAGTGTATCAAATGTAGCTTATTTGCGCTCAGCCAGAGACCTAGAGATAATTTTCTGTAATGCTTTGGAAGTCATGGTTACTGAACACTTCCTGTCTTTCCTCCCTTCACAATCTTGTTTTTATCAGTATTAAATACTCCTGGGAAAACTCTCAAAAGGGTTGGCAGCATGGAGTTAGTATAAAATAACAGGAAATCAGGAACTCTGGTTTTCATTTCTTGTCAGACCTGTACTACTAACGGTTAAGTGACCCTGGGAACCATTGCATCACTTTCTCCAAACTTCCTCCACAACCTGGATTCTGCCTCAGTTGGTAACTCCACCTCCATCTTGTGCAAACTAGAAACCTGAGTCATCCTAAACACTCCCTCTCCTCACTCCCCCTCTATCCTTTTCCTAATCTAATTAGTCACCAAGTCATGTCTTGTCTATCTCTGAAAAGATTCAGAATCCATTCCGTTTTCTCCATCCCCAAGTCTGCTGTCTGGTTCATGCCCTGCCTGCCCAGCACCTGGGCTGCCGCCTCCCCCACTAGCTCATCCTCCACACTGTTGCCAGTTACTTCTCGGAACAAGGTTACTTCTCTAAACAAGGCTGTGATCACGTTTCTCCCCTATTGGAACCCCTTCTTTGGCGCTCTGTTTTCTCCGGCAAAAGGCCCAAACTCTTTAGAGTGGTATTCATTTGTTCAAATATTTACTGAGGCTTGCAGGTGCCGGGCACTGTGCTGGGCCCTAGGGTACCGTGATGAATGAGGCCCAGTGTATGTCCTTGGGGAGCATACTGTTGGATGGGGGAGACACTGGACAGACAGAAACTACTCTTAGACACTGATAACTCACCAGCTAACTGAAATGCAGCAGGAGAGGTTCTTGGTCAAGGACTGTGTAAAAGGCCTGCCCTTCTGCTTCCCTGCTTTGCGTTCTTGCCTCTGCTCTTTCACTCACTCTGTCCCTACATGGCTTGCTCCCCCATGTCTTGTGCTTTGTCTGTCTCTTGCCTGTGGAGTATCCTACCCTCCCATCCTTTGGGGGAATGCCTGTGTATTCTTCAAAGACTAATTCCAGTATCACTGCAACTTCCTCCAGGAAGCCATCTTTGACCCATTTCATGCATTATTCATTTGATTATTCATTCAGGAAACAGACCAAATGTCTCTGTGCATGCTTCTTCGTAGCATGTAAGTAGATCATTTTTGATGGCACTGATCTTAATGTATCATAATTATCTGTGGGCTTCTCAAGGGCAGGGCCTCATCTAGTTCTGAGTCCCCAGGCACACCACAGAACTTGGTACAGTATTGTCATTATGTAAATGCTTGCTGAATGTAACAGCACCATACCTCAGTTTCTTCACCTGAAAAATAGACCTACCAAACATCTTCCTTTTTTTTTCCCATTAGGAGACTGTTAGCAAGATTCTGCCAGTAGTGTTTACATATGTGAAAGTACATTGAGCTTTAATGCAATGCAGAAAGGAGAGGGTTTAGTTGCTGCCAGACTGCCCCAGGTCCCTGGAATGTAATAGGTAGGGCAGCAGACCTGCCTGGCAGTGCCTGCTTTGTTGGCCTTGGCCTGGGGACGTTTCCCAGGTACAAGCACTTTGCCTCAGGTACCCTTGGCCAGGTACAATTTATGACTTTGCTCATAGGCCTTATAGTGGATCAGCTCCTTCCTGGCTTGGTGTCTAGTCTGTCCAGCCTGGGTGTGTCCAGACTGTGCAGAGTCCTCACCTCCTTTCTAGCCCACACTGGAATCCTCTGCTCTATTGCTTAAGGAAAGAGCACTGTAGCAGGAAACACTGGGAGTCACTGGGTTGGGGTGGGGGGGGTGTCCCACTGGGGGAATGGTTCAGGCCAGCCTCTGCCTTTTACCTTGTAGTAGGACTTGGGCAAGTCCCTTCTCCTCTCCTGGCCCTAGTTTTCTGTCTGTAAGATGAGGAAGTTAGGTTGAGTGACTGGCCTTCTGGGTACCTCTCCTGTCACACAACTACAACTCTATTGAGAATCTTATTCGTTCTTTAAGTCCCAGCTCAAATGCCACTTTCTCATGGAGTTCCTCCCTGATTTTATCCTCTTTCCTTTGCAGTCTCCATGGCGGATGCCTTGTGTGTTCACTTTAAATGCCTGTTTCCTTACGCTGGTTGGTTGGCTGTTACAGAGAGCATCTCCGTGCCTCTCCTGTGAGGTGTGAGCACCTCCAGATTGTTTCATGCTTTTTTATGCCCCTGCGCCCCGGAAGGTAGCTGACCAGGACTTGGCTGATAATAATAATTGATATAATTATAACAGTAGCAGTTGTATTCATGTATGATTTATTGATCATTTGCTTTATGCTAGACACTATTATAAAAACTAATTTTCTTATATTAGTGGTTTTCAGACTATCTTTTGAGTCACTGTGAGGATTTTTCAGAGCCCCCTCAATCTATCAAGGGAAGAAGCCCCAGGCTTCAGCCAGAGCAGCTTTCTTTTATCATTTTTATTTATTTATTTATTTATTAGAGACAGAGTCTCACTTTGTTGCCCTCGGTAGAGTGCTATGGTTTCACAGTTCACAGCAGCCTCCAGCTCTTGGGCTTAAGTGATTCTCTTGCCTCAGCCTACCGAGTACCTGGGACAACAGGTGCCCGCCACAACACCCAGCTATTTTTTGTTGCAATTTGACTGGGGCCAGGTTCGAACCTGCCACCCTCAGTATATGGGGCTGGTGCCCTTCTCACTGAGCCACAGGCGCCTCCCCAGTTTTATTTTTTTAATCAAAAGATTCTTTAGCGGGCGGTACCTGTGGCTCAGAAGGGTAGGGCACCAGTCCCATATGCCAGAGGTGGTGGGTTCAAACCCAGCCCCGGCCAAAAACGGCCAAAAAAAAAGATTCTTTAGCTAATAATTAACAAAATTTTACTAGGTTATTTCTTATAATCTGCAGAACAGTCCAGTGAGGAAGAGATTGTTATATTTTATTTATGAGGAAGCAGGCTCAGCGAGATTAAGCCACTGGCACAGTCATGAACTCAGCTAGTGAGAGCAGTTTTGAATCAAAATCTGTCTGTGGGCTCGGCGCCTGTAGCTCAAGCGGCTAAGGCGCCAGCCACATATACCAGAGCTAGCAGATTAGAATCTAGCCATGGCCTCCCAAACAGCAAAGATAACTACAAACAAAAAATAGCTGGACGTTGTGGTGGGCACCTGTAGTCCCAGCTACTTGGGAGGCTGAGGTAAGAGAATCGCTAAAGCCCAGGAGTTGAAGGTTGCTGTGAGCTGTGACGCCATGGCACTCTACCCAGGGTGACAGCTTTAGGCTCTGTCTCAAAAAAAAAAAAAAAAATCTGTCTCTGACTTCATTGTCTGGATACTAGCTATGGCAGCTTCTAGGGAGGAAGAGCTCCCAAGATGTGGAGATGGGAGGTAGCAGGGCCTTCCTGCCTTTCCTTCCCAAGCCTCTCTTCTTTGCATAAACAGGCCCTTTCAGATGAATATGAATTTGGTCTTAGCCTTGAACCTATCAAACACAGTAAGAAGAGAAAGCCCAGGTCTCAGGTGGCTAGACCACTGACATGCCTCCAGGTTGATCTAGATTATGTCTAGATGGTACCTTCCTCATAACTGGACACAGCTGCTCTCTGTGCCCTTGAGCTCCCCTATCTTCAGATATGTTGGGGTTATGCTCTGCCAAGCCCTGTGCTAGCTATTTAGGGAGCTGAAGCAGAATGTTTTGAGCCTCAGAGATTCTTGGCTGATGGCATGGGGAGATGGACAAGAGAGGGATGTCCCCATGTGTGCTCTAATGCCCAAATACCCTGGAGACCTAGGTTCTGGTCCACACGCCTCCATACAGGATTTTTCTGGACTTGAGTTTTATCCTCTGTAGGAGGCTATTATTAATAGTTAATGTGTATGGAGTGCTTACTCTGTGCCAGGCCCAGTGTCAAAACACCTCCCATGACTGGTCTCATTTCATTTACATACCAACATAGGAGTTAAGCACTATTGTTAGAACTTTTTACAGAAAAAGATACTGAGGCTTAGAGTGAGTAAGTCATTAATTAGTCCTGTTAGTAAGTGGCAGAACCTAAACTTGAACTGGTCTAAAAAGATAAATAGGGTCTCCCCTGCCTGGCTCACAAAGCCGGGAGTGAGGATAGGGAAATGTTTTTGCCTCATAGGGTAAGGAAGACATGCTACAGTGAATCCATGCTGTAGATGCATCATTTGTGACCGATGAGGGTCAGGGTGCCGAGCGGACACCGGATTTATGCTATGAATTCTGCAGATAGAGGTGGAGTACCATAGGGTGGTCATTTGGAATTCTGTTTCATTCATTTGCCTGCTCATTCATATAATAAATATTTATCAAGCATCCATCCTGCACTGGGAATGGGGATAAAGTGGCAAACCAGACATGATCCCAGCCCTTATGGAGCCCCTTGATGTACAGAAAAGGGAAGTCATGAAGGCAGCATTCCAGCCCTGATCCTGCAGGTCTTTTTTTTTTTGAGACAGAGTCTCAAGCTGTCGCCCTGGGTAGAGTGCCGTCATTTCACAGCTCACAGCAACCTCAAACTCTTGGGCTTAAGCAATTCTCTTGCCTTAGCCTCCCAAGTAGCTGGGACTACAGGCACCCGCCACAACTCCCAGCTATTTTTTTGGTTGTAGTTGTCATTGTTGTTTGGCAGACTGGGGCTGGATTCAAACTCACCAGCTCAGGTGTATGTGGCCGTCGCCCTAGCCACTTGAGCTACAGGTGCCGCCTCCTGCAGGTCTTGACCTTGGGTAACTCATAGCTCCTCTAGTTAGCCCGTCTGAGCAATGGGATTACATAATTCCAACCCTACCATAGGATCGGTTGAAAGAATGGCAGTGGAAGTGCCTTGTAGCTATAAAATACCATACTGTGGCTGGTTTCTGACCTCCTCATTCTAGCTGATTTCTTCTTCTGCCTGCAGGGCTGCCCAGGAGCTGCAGGACAAGCCCCAGGAGGCCCTCCGGGTAGTTACTACCCTGGACCTCCCCATGGTGGAGGGCAGTATGGCAGTGGGCTACCCCCTGGTGGTGGCTATGGGGGTCCTGCCCCTGGAGGGCCTTATGGACCACCAGCTGGTGGAGGGCCCTACGGACACCCCTCTGGAACTCCAGGGGGACCATATGGTGGTGCAGCCCCAGGAGGCCCCTATGGTCGACCACCTCCAAATGCCTATGGTGCCCAGCAACCTGGGCCTTATGGACAGGGTAAGTAGAGATTCTTGGATTCCGTGTGGCTCTGACTTGGTTCTGAGTTATCCACTGCCCATCCTTGTCCTTCCTGTGGGTGTGTAGTTATCTTGGGCTCTGCCACCTTAACATCTTGCTTCCCGCTTCAGCTTGCATCAGAGAATGAGAAGCTGTCAGTTAGCTTTTCTGTGTTAACAACTACTCCAAAATGTCCTTGGCTTATAGCAGCAAGCATTTGTTTCCAGGGCTTGCTCACATTTATTTCCTCTTGCTTACATGTCAGCAGCTGTGGGCTGGCTGCCGAGTTTCTGTTCCACATGACTTTTTATTCCAGGATCCAGGAGGAAAGAGCAACCCCCTATTTGGGACCTCTTGTCTATGTGGCAGGAAAGCTAGCAAGAATGCACAGAGCCTCTTTTCTAAAGTTCTCTATGTCTCATGCACTCACATTCTTTTGGCCAAAGCATATACCCTGGACAAGCCTGACATCAGTAGGGCAAGAGTGGATGCTCCTTTCATGGAATAGCTCTGCACACCACCAGGCAATAGGAGAGGATGCACAGTGCTCTCACAGGGAAGAAGAGGTTAGCGGATAATTGGAGATAAGTCTGACATGGGGAGAAACCCAGGTTAAATACCCCTTACTCTGTAAAATGTTTCAAACTACACACATTTCAGGGTCTCCATGAAGAACTTTATCTTATTTAATCATCACAACAACCCTGGGAAATGGGGTCATTTTAGAATCAGTACTCAGGAAATTACACATTTTGCCTAAGGCCACGCACAAGCTAGTAAGTAATCAGAGAATCAGGATTTGAATCCAGGTCTGCTTTGATTCCAAAGCCTGAGTCTCTATACAAACCACACAGACCACCCAAGTTACTAAAACTCTCCTGCTCGGGAAGGACATTGCTGTTTTAGGAAGGTAGGTGGAGCCTACCTGGATTTCCCATCCAAAGAGATCAAACTATCCCTCAGGTAAACCTTTTTCCTGCTGGCCTGGCTGAGCTTTGGGACTGAGCAGTGGTTTCTATCCTCCTCAACTGCTTATAGCTCTCTCTGAAACTTACTTTCTTTTTTTTTTTTTTTTTGAGACAGAGTCTTACTCTATCACCCTGGCTATGGGTGTGGCTTCATAGCTGTGGCTTCATAGCTCATAGAAACCTCAAACTCTTGGGCTTGAGCAATCCTCTTGCCTCAAGTCTTTTACGTAGCTGGGAGTACAGGCCCACCACAACTCCTGGCTATTTTTTTTTAGAGATAGTGTCTCACTCTTGCTCATACTGGTCTTGCACTCATGAGCTCAAGCAATCTACCCACCTCAGCCTCCTGGAGTGCTAGGATTACAGATGTAAGCCACCACACCAGCCTCTGATGCTTTCTTGTGTGAAGGAGCTCCATTTGTGAACAGTTAACTCAGTAATCTGAGATAGACTTTTCTGCTTCTCTGTTGTCATCAATCACCCATTCCCAGCTTACCTTTTCCAGAGAATTTTTGATATCCTGGAGGATACAGACTCCTCCCTGTTCCATAGAAGCATAAAACCAAGTGGAGAAGTGACCAGAGCACTTCCAGAGCTCACAAAATAGAAATCAATTCTAGATACTTGTGACTCTCCACCAATGGCCCTCTTCCATCATAGTAAGGATGTTAGCTTGATGGAAGGCAGGTGCTGGCTAATTTGTGAGGTTTTGTGAGTAGGAAAAACTTACAGCCAGGGAGGCACCAAGGCTGGCCCTTCCCAGCATTTTTGCCAAATGACCTTGAGACCTGGGTTTGACTCCCTGGTTCACACTCCTTCCTCCAGGTGGTGTTCCCCCCAATGTGGATCCTGAGGCCTATTCCTGGTTCCAGTCAGTGGACTCTGATCACAGTGGCTACATCTCCATCAAAGAGCTGAAGCAGGCTCTGGTCAACTCCAACTGGTCCTCATTCAATGACGAGACATGCCTCATGATGATAAGTGAGTCTTCCTTCCCCTGGGCCTGAGCTGGGGCAGAGCCACCTGGGTGACAAGAGGTGGGTGGGCAGTCATTCTGAGGAGAAATCTTTTGGCTAAGGAGGATTTCAGGGAGGAGCCTAGGTTCAAGGTGAACTCCCTTAAACTGAGACCTCATTCCCTTAGAGCTCATCTGTCCTTGCTGAGTTAGAGCTTAACTTAGTTTTCTATTCTGCGGCATTCCCTCCCCTGGTAGGAAATGGCTGGGAGGGGTCAGCGTAGATCAGTGTTTCAGGGCTCACTTGCAGAGCCTACAGAGAAAAATGCAGCTAATTGTAGACGAGGTGGGGCTGAAGGTGGCCAGGGCAGGAGGCTGGTGCCTCCTTGATGCAGGTGTCTCAGGCCTGTGGTTCTGGAAGATCTCCTACTCCAGCCTGGGAAGAAGTGCTCACAGTGGTACCCAGGACCTAGGGCTGTCAGTCTTGAAGCCTTCCTCCTTTACTCTCCCTCTGTTCCCTCAGACATGTTTGACAAGACCAAGTCCGGTCGCATCGATGTCTACGGTTTCTCAGCCCTGTGGAAGTTCATCCAGCAGTGGAAGAACCTCTTCCAGCAGTACGACCGGGACCACTCAGGCTCCATTAGCCACATGGAGCTGCAGCAAGGTGAGGGCCCCAGCAGGAGCTCAGGGGGCGGGAGCTCAGGGAGCTTCTCTTTCCTCCCTAAGACAGAACAACGGGTTTTCTTCTCACTACCAGATGTCCACCTGCATCATCAAAGGCTGTCCTTAGTGCAGACCTACTCCCCCCGTGCCTCCTGTGACCTGGGCATTAAGTCATGATTCAGGGCAGGGAGACACCTACCTGGCTCCAGAATCAGGGCAGGACTCCTGGTGACAGGACTTCTGACAGTGGTGGATGACACAGCTCTAGTTGGCAGAAAGCCTTAGGGATGAACACTTGGCACCTTAGGGCCAGTGTATGTGGCTTGGATGGCTCTTTCCTCTCTAGTTTCTAGCATGTAGAATGCAAAGAGTTTCACATAGGAGCTCAGAAAGATGGGTGCTCCTGCCACCTTTGCAATTCTTCCCAGCTTTGAGAACTTGAGGAGTCTAATAAAAGTTGCCACTATGGAAGATGACTTGAGGCCCCAACCCCAGGTCTGGTTCCAGTTTGACTCAGGCTCTGGTCCACTGGTGAAATGATGGCTACTGAGGTTATAAGAACCCCTAGAGAACTTCATCACATGGGAGGGGGAAAGGGCTCCCCAGAGAGTCCAGTTCCTTGCCTTGGCTGTGGATTTCAATCAGACTAAGGAGGGAGGTCTGCAGGAGGGGTGAGAGCACTGCGTCTGCCCCTGGTAAAGGGAGAGCTCACTGGTACTGTCACGGTCTCTTATGCCAGCTTTTGTCGTGGACGTTAGTAAGGGTGATACTAACAACAACAAAAGTGATTTTTATCAAATGCTTGTTATATCCTAGGCACTGTAATAAGTGTTTTTAATAGGTTTGTATAATTCATTGTACCCATGTACCAGGTACTATTTATTCCACACCCTTTGATGAAGGATCCCTGATTATCTCCCTTTTACAAATGAGAAAACTGAAGTTTAGTTAACTTGCCCAAGGGCCCACATAGTGAATGGAGAGCTGAGATTTTAGCCTGGGCTGGTAAGCTACGCAGAGAAGAAGGAAGGAAGCATCCTGGTGGGGGGCAGGGAGCAGCATGTAGGCTGTGGTGTTGGAACTGCCTGGCAGCTTTGTCTGGGGGAGGGATGGTGACTTTATTAAAATAACCCTTACTGAGTGCTTTTTATGTGCCAGGCATTGTGCTAAGGGCTAGTTAAGTGTCATCCGCAGATGACTAGTGCAGCTCAGCACCTCGCCTAGGGACTGTCTAACTCCAGAGCAGGTCCTCATAACCTCTGTGCTGTGTGCTGTGATGCCTGCTCTGGGAAGGTGGTCCTATGGGGCTCTGGCTTCCTTTGGAAATGCAGATGAGTTCAAAGCCCCAACTGAACAGACGATGATGGAAATTTGGAAAAAGAAAGATGGAGGGATGGGGGCCTTTTAGCTAAGAGGAGCATCCAGATAGAGCTCCTCTTTTGCTTCTGACATCTTGGACACACCCTTGGGACTTCTCTCTTTTTTGTGCTCCTGAGCCTACCCCTCGAAGTCCCCCAAACTGCTGTGCTGTGGTGTTGCTGGCCAGTGGAGGTGCTCATGGCAGGTTTCTGTGTGTCTACTCTGTATACCCATCTTCTCCAGCTCTGTCCCAGATGGGCTATAACCTGAGCCCTCAGTTCACCCAGCTCCTGGTTTCCCGCTACTGCCCACGCTCTGCCAATCCTGCCATGCAGCTCGACCGCTTCATCCAGGTGTGCACCCAGCTGCAGGTACTGACCGAGGCCTTCCGGGAGAAGGACACAGCTGTACAGGGAAACATTCGGCTCAGCTTTGAGGACTTCGTCACCATGACAGCTTCCCGGATGCTATGACCCAGCCCATCTACAGAGAGTGGAACATACAAGAGACCTTTCTTGCCCCCTTAAAATGGGAGAAGCATGTGGACCTCTCTTCTTTTCCTCCCCCTTCTAAAAAAAAATGATTTTCCCTTGTTTGATGCAGCACTGTTCCCAAAAAGGGTTGGGAGCCCTGTATCATAGCCACCAAATAGTCAGGGGCCTGACCTAGGACAGGACTGGAAGTTGAATAGCACAGTCTTGCGCCAGGAACAGAAATGTCAGTCCTTATAATGGAGTTATTCTCTGATTAGCTGGGCTCCTGCCTCTAGTTTTCCCTCCTCTGCCCTGATGCCAGTGGTAATTGTTCATTGGCTTGTCAGCATTGGCACCTGTGTTCCCTCACTCAGGCTGACCCAGATGAGCTTTTTTTCTCCAAAGTGGAATTTGACCAAGCATGTAAGATTTGCCCATGGGACCAGTGGCTTGGCCTCTGCCACACTCACACCCACAAGTCCTCTGTGTTAACTTCTGGCTGCCTAGGGTCTATCCCTGTGCAGGAGCTCAGACAAGTCTGCTCCCTGGGCATCTGTGCCCAACCTACTGCCTTTTGCAGCTTGGACCCCTCACTTACCTGCCATACTCTGCTTGGCTTCAGTCCCCAGGGGGCAGTTGTCATATCTCCCTGCCAATGCTTTTTTTTTTTTTTGTGGTTTTTTTCATTTGTGGCCAAAAGTCTAGTGAAATTGTTAAACTTCAATAAAAGGATGACACTCTGGAGTTCCAGTTTTCCACCATGACTTCCCAGCTACAGAGTTAGCCATTCACTCATTTATTTATTCCTTCAGTGAATATTCAAATGTGTACTGTATACCACCAACCTACACGGGGATGTGACCTATATGGGGCTTCTCTCATTTGCCAGCATGAAGTTGAAGTGCAAGGCTGCTGGCATGGGTCCTGCTAGGTTGAGTTCAGTATGGCCTAGTGCAGGTGTCCTCAAACTACGGCCTGCAGGCCACATGCGACCTGCCTAGGACATTTATCTGGCCCGCTGGGTGTTTTTGCTGCCACTATCTGTCCTGCTTAGCAGCCGACTCGTCCCGGGGCCCACAGTCCGGCCCTCCAACGGTCTAAGGGACAGTGAACTGGCCCCCTGTTTAAAAAGTTTGAGGACCCCTGGCCTAGAGGTCTGTGCAATAAGCTGTAGCAGTCTGGGGCTGGCATTCTGGGCTGGAGGCAGCTACCCTAAACTTTTCACAGCATGGCCTTTTTATAGTCTCAGGCCCTAGTTTTATCTTCCAGACAAACTCCATTTATTAAGTCATAACTTTCCCCCCATTTTTATTAAGCACAGACATCTGTACTTGCCAGTCAGATCTTTAGATCAGCATGATATCCAGTCTACACCGAGTGTCTGTAATGAGCTGACAAAATTTCAATCAAAAGCCAAAGACACCAGACATTCTACTTTGCCAGGGGGCTTTATCATGGGTAATGTGTGATTATCCTTTGGCTTTTTGAGATGAAGATAAGAGCTCTGCAGCCCTAAGCAGGGCTCTCCTCCCTGCCGTGTGTGGTTGAGGAAGTAGCTGTGACTGTTTTGCAGGTCAGTGAGGCCCAGCAGGCATGTTGGGCTGAGCCAGGTCAGCCCCATTCTTCTCTGGGCTGCTGTGCTGCTAGGAACCCAGAATTTGATGGAGTCCATTTCCCAGAGGCCAGCCCCCATCCTGAGCTAGAATCCCCTCCATGCCCTTCCTGTGATTTTGGCCTCTGCTTGCCATCCTCCAGTGACAACACAGCCCACTTCTTCCTCAACTGGTAGAAACTTTGATATGCGTTCTAAATCATGCTATCTTGAAAAACACTGCTCATTGGCTCAGGTTTTCTCTCTTGGGCCATGCAGGTCTTCACATCGACCTTTGTGCCACCCTTCTAGAACACGCTACTTTATTCCCACACATTCTCCCTTCTCTAGGCAGATAAGCTACAGGCTCTTCAGGAACTCCTGACTGAGCATCACTCCCTTGGCATCCTGGTCACCTCCCCTAAATTTTCTCCAGTTCATCAGAGTCCCCTAAAATGGTGGTTTAAGGCCTACCATGGAGCTGGGTTCAACCAGCAGAGAGTGAATAGAACTGCAGCCATTAAGAAGCTCCTGTTTCTTTGTTCCACTGAAACCCAATGATGCCCGTTGTAGCTATTCATCTTGTACTCAGCTGGGTCTGAGGAGCCCAAGACCTGGCTTCATCTTGTGGGCATGGTTGGTTCTGAGCTTGGGGGCCGCCCTTAGCACCTCATTTTGCACACTGCAGCTCTAAGCTTGCCTACAACTGTGCCAACAGCTTTGGATTTAAGGCCAATGGGAGTATGGAAGGGCAGGACAGCCCATCCCTCCTGGCTGCAACCACACCATCTACAGAGAGCTGGACTGGTGAGTCATACTTAGACCACACCTTCCACCTGCTCTTGGTAAAGCAGGGCACCCAAGAGAAGCAATGGTGAAGCATTCCTGGGCTGGGGCCTTGGCAGCACCGCAGCTCTGCCCTCCTTCTTGACGGGTGAGGTCAGAGGGAGCCTGCAGCTCCATTAATCAAGTTAAGCAGGACTTGTGGTGCGCACAGCCGAGTTGGCCTCTGCCAGCTGTCTCCGTTCCTCTCAGCAGAGCAGCACTCACCCTGTGCTCCA